CTGTTTTTCGTGAACGACCCATTTTAAGAAAAGAAAAATTTTCTTACAGCAAAGGTTTAAATATGATTTATTACTAAAATACCTCACAATTTCTATGGTTTGATTGATGTGCAGATTCCAGTTGAAATTCAAATTCTTCTTCTTCGTTTCGTAGCACCTTCCAGCAGAAATGTGGGAAGTGGGGTGATCCTCGGGTTTCACTATGATGATAGAGATGTCGCTGCTTCCTCCTCTGGTAAAGTCTTTCAAGCGCGCATGCGCAAGGCTCCACTTCTCAAGGTCCAGCGATGTCAGTATTTTCGATGATGATGTACTTTTCTTATCACAGTTTATTTATTTTTATTTATTAATGTTCAGTCCAGTATCCCACCGCTGTCACCAAAAATTTGAATATGTCGCATCACAGGTTGGATTTTACGTATATTTCCGTTGGATTCACAAATAACCAATGGCTAGATTCTTTTTACTGTTATAACCGCTTGAAAGCGGGCACTGAATTTAAATTTGAATTTATTATTCAGATTAAAGGTGGGATAAATAAATATACACTTATAATTAATTGGAAAAACCCCTTTCGGGTAAAAAACCAATTTTATTTAAGTTCAAATATTGTTTCTTTTAAATATACACTTCACAATTCGATTTTACAAATAATTGTTTTATTGTTAAATATTAATTTAACAATTTTAATTGTTTGTCGAAGGTTTGATTTAGTTTATTCACACTTTATGAGATTCGTTGATTTAACAATGTAATACTTTTAAAGATATGCACTAACAAGTAGTGGTTTCTTTTCATGTTTCGAAAATTGTCTCAAACTTTGGGTCTCAGGCGCTCTCTTTATATACCCAACTAAAAGGGGGGAGGTTTACCCTTCCCTCTTTGTTTAACCAATCAGAGCGCTGATAACGTGGCACTTGACCAATAAGCGTTGAACATTCAAGGTCAAGTTATTGCGCATTTTCCAAATGACCAAAATAATGACACGTGTCAAGGTTAAATTATTACGCATTTAACAGATCTCAAGGTCAGATTATTACGCATCCTACAAATGACTCATTATTGTCATATATTTTACTGCGCAGTTTTTATCTGCGCAATAAAATAACCGTCATACGAAGATTTACAATATAATTTTGCAGTTTTTCTTATCTAAAATAAGAAGTACAAATTCAGTATTTCATAATCATAGTTTCGTTCTATTTTTCAAATATAAATAAAATATTTAATGCATATTCCTTAATTAATTAAACACTAATAATAATAATAAATTTAAATTAATATTAATACAATTAATACTATATTTAATTACAGTTTTCTAAAATAATTACAATAATTTTATAATAACCTATAATAATACAATGATTATACGATAGAGAGAGAAAGAGAAAGAACAAATGTCAAATAAAAGGTCTTTTCAATTTCTGGATCAAATAATAATAATAATATTAATAATAATAATAATAATAACAACAATAATAACAATAATAATAATGATGTTTAATTGTAATATAAATATAACTTTAGATTTTTAAATTTGAATCTTCCAAGATGACAATCGAAAATTCCTAGTTCATCTATATAGAATTTAAAATTCCCTATAAAATTTACTAGGCACTGATGCCAGATGCCACACGTTGTAATGAGAGAGAATGCAGCAAACGTATATTTGCGTCTTTTTCTCTCCCATTACGACGCAACGCAAAACGCTGTCATGGGACTCCACCCTCATTTTTCACACAAATATATTTTATTTTTATTTTATTTGAAATGTCACAATTGTGACGCACACACTATGACAGACAGAACGAGAATGAATATCAAAAAAATGGCCGTCTTCCTAGCCACGAATGCGTCGCTTCCTCCGCGCTTCGTTTTGTTTCTCGAGGTGAGTCCCACAGGAATTATTAAGCTAAAGTTCGTTGGTCAATTATCACTCGTCGATAACTGTCTCTCAACTGTCGGTAATAAGTAACACACGGCGCCACATGAGCGCTGCGTACAAGCCGATGTTACGCCACCGATCCAATATGGCTGCACTAAATGTTTTGACAGGTGACTTGTCGCTGTCTCCGAATTCGTCTTCCTGGCACTCTTGGATAATCGGGAATCATTTCCGACTACTTATGCCAGGAAGCACTTCCCACGACGACTTCAGTTGTCTGCCTTTTCCGTGAGTTGAATGTGGAGTTGACGAGAGGCGAGAGTCTTTACTCTCGCGATTATTTTCAATGAAAACAAAGAATTGGAACGATTAATTTTTCCAATTTATTTACTTGAATTTAAGCATTGATGTGATGAGTTTGCAGGTGAAAATTATAAAATTTATAACGTTTCACGTGAGAGCGCGGCGCGTCATTATTTTACCCTGAAAGAAAATGTCATTTTTTATATATTAATAATTTTAGTCCCACTTTGAGAAGAAACGTTTCCGATAGGAAAAAAGCTCAGCTTTTTTTCTAAATAAAAAGAAGTTTTAAAACAATACCGATTTTACAGAAAAATGAAAATTAAACTTAATTTTTAATTTTCAAGGTCAAAAAACATTTTTTTAAACTAACATAGCCATTGAAAAGTACACATAAAAACCATTCCAAAACATATTTAGTGAAATTCACATATTTTTTTAAAGAGAAATACAAGTCACCAAAGTATGACGTGCAAACGTATGAGGCCTGGATCACTTGGCGTAAAATCTCCCATATATTCGCAAAACTAAGACTGGACAAAAGTGTTCATGACGCATATATGGGCAACTTAAAAAGGGTGATTAAAAACTTCTTAAATGTTCCTGAAACCGGTTACTCGGGGGTTTATGGGGTCGCTGATTCCGAATCTGACATTAGTTTTTAAAAATTTTAAATGGTGGATCCAATATCGCGGACGACAAAATAGAAAAATTGATCAGATTGACTTGAAACTGAATACTCGGGAATTTTCAGGGTTGCTTATTACGAAACTGAAATCAGTTTTTAAAAATTCAAAATGGCTGATACAATATGGCGGACGACAAAATAAAAAATTAATTGGATTGGCTTGAAAGTTACTTAATAAGCTAAGGAAACATACCCTTTTGAACCTCTGAATTTGACTCTCCAGTTTTCTCAGTGTGGAATGTAAAATCCTAGCCTCCTTGTGGTACATTCAGGGGTCGTGAATTTAAAAAATGTAATTAACTATAAAAATTAAATTCACCTGCTATTGTCAGGGTATTTAACGAAATTTGAATTTACCAAAAATTATTATACTGATGTCAGATTAACCAGTTTCAAACAAAATCAATAAATTTTTATAAAATTTCCGCCATGTTGAATCAGATATTTAAAATTTTAAAAAACTGATTTCAGATTCGTTATCAGCAACCCTGAAAATCCCCAAGTATTCAATTTCAAGTCAAACTGATCTTTTTTTTATTTCGTTGTCCGCCATTTCGAATTTTGGAAAACTAATGTCAGATTCTTTAATTATGAAAGATTTCGACTATATCAGCAATTAGTGACATCTATTAGACGTCGATTGAACTCTTTGGTTTAGAGTTAGGTGTTTTTCTTAAGGTAATTATTCCGATATGGTTGTCGGTAAATAATTATTTTTTTGAATTTAACTTTTTGATCTGAAAAAATAAGCTGCGTGAACGACTGCACTATGCATCTGTGAGGACTCGAACCCCAGTTAATATCTGCCTATCGCGGGACTTAAGCCTATCAATGCACCTTGCCAACACAGCCTGGACATACACGTTTCTTATATTCTCAAATCAAGCCCATACACTAGTGGAAGAGCTGTATAGTTATTGATAGGCTTAAGTCCCGCTATAGGCAGCTATTAACTAGGTATTTTTTAGATCAAAAATTAAATTCAAAAATATAATTATTTACCGATAACCATATCGGAATAATTATCTTAAGAAAAACACCTAACTCTAAACCAAAGAGTTTAATCGACATCTAATAGATGTCACTAATTGCTGATATAGTCGAAATCTTTCATAATTAAAAATTCTTAATCAGCAAATAATTTCCTACATTAACTAATGTCAGATTCGTTATTAGCGATCCTATAAACCCCCAAATAACCATATTGGATCCGCCATTTTGAATTTTGGAAAACTAATGTTAGATTCGTAATCAGCGACCCTTATTGTTTGGCCCAAACAGTGGAAATCTCGTTGACAGCCAAGGGGTTAAGTAAAAAAGATTAATTTAACATTAGCGTGGTATGCTGCTTAATACTATCAATACGAGAATGAACGCGTCGGTACGCCAACTTATCACTGATCTATATATTAACTGGATGGCGGATGGGCTGCCAAAAATTGTTCGTGAGTGTTCAGAAACATTCGTTTCAGTCCTCAGCGGCTGTACATACCGCTAAATTGTGAAGGGTACAAAATTCTATATTATTCAGTTTATTACTTGACTCCTGGTATTAAATATAGGGCCAGATTCACCAAATCTGATTAAAAGTTAATCAATGGTTAAAGTCAGTTTAACCGCCCATGATTGGTCGGTTAAGGATATAATCATTGATTAATTTTTAATCGGAATTGGTGAAACTGGCCCATATTCTACTATTTTATTTTCATCACCGTGATTGCCGAGCAAGTTTACGAAGTACAGTCGTGATTAACGATAATAACGCTCTAATAATCACAGACAGTGGATTCGACATTGCATGACGTACACCATCCAGGTAGTATATAGATTAGTGCAACTTATCCACAGTCGCAATCACTTCTTATCGGGCCTTTAATTCAATATGGTCGCTTGCAGTGTTTTGGCAAGACCACAACAAAGAATACTTTTTGTCTTTCTGTTGCTCTTGCATTTTCGGAAATCACATCCGCATATATGCACAAGGAAGCTCTTCCCCTGATACAACTATGTCTTTTCTTCCCGTGTGTATGAAAATATAAAATAATAAAAACAATAATCATACTAATTAATTATAATTCTTCGATATTGATACGGAAGTTATATAAGTTTGTATTCTCTTTATAGAGTTAGCGAATGCAGGTAGACCACTGTTTCCAGGATCAGATGTAGATGACCAACTAAAACGAATATTTAAAATGTTGGGTACACCCACAGAGGAAACGTGGCCAGATCTTACAACTCTTCCTGACTATAAACCATTTCCTCAGTATCACCCGACTCAAGGCTTACCTCAAGTTACTCCAAAACTCACAGCTAGAGGCAAAGATTTGCTACAAGTACGTTTATTCAAATTTATAGTACACATGTATTCATATATCATATCACCTAGTAAGTTAAAAGGGACCTTCGATCCCTTTTTTGAAGATCAAGAATAAAGTAGGTAATATTTTTTAAAAAGTACTTACCTACACTGGTCTCCAAAAATTAGATTTTTTTGTAAAAAAAGTAAACGATAGTTATTTTTATACAATTTTTGCCGTAGAGCAAAAATGAGTTTTCATTTCAACCACATTGAGCTGTTTATCACGTTGCGTTTTTTTATAGTGCAGTAAAAAGTGTCAAAAATGAGATTTTAGACTCGAATTATTTAAAGCTTTTTAGTGATAACATTAATAAAAATTTAATTTGATAAATTTTTTGTTTATTTTTATGTTGTTCTTAATGTAGTTTATTTATCGTTTTCAGAGGTTACTAGTATGCAATCCAGTACTTCGGATTTCAGCGGAGGAAGCCATGCTGCATTCTTATTTTAATGATTTAAGTCCTACAATTAAAAACGATAGATATTAATATTTATAATATTAAAAGTGTACTATTATTACTGGACAAGAATTTTATTATTTATTAAAGAGAAACATATTCTTCTTCTTTATCTGGATAAATATATGATATTTCAAGTTCTAATTAATAGTATTAATTTTTGAGTCAATCTCTTTTTATAGTTATTCTGTACTTTTACGACAGTTTATGTATCTACATATTTCTTGAAATTGTCTGATGATTAAGCAAGAATAATAATTTAATTACATTAAAATCTTGTTTAAACGAATTTTCATTTATCGACTTCTCGTTTATATCCTAAAAGGCAGAGTATTTTCAGGAGGCCCTTTTAATGATTGGATTAGAAGCATTGACACAACTCATAATTTACACCTTATAATTATGGATTATCCTTCGATTACAGTAATTTTCTCTAAAATTAACCGTATTAGTGTTTTATAAATTACTTCAAAAATGTTTTAATAATTCTACATCATAATTTCATTTAAAATATTATTTGTAATAATTTTCATAATTAAGTCTTTAGAAATTTTCAAGGAATTGAAACAATTTTTTACGAATGTAAAACTATTGATAATTATTATAATTATAATAGCACTTGAAATTTGTATTTTTTTGCAATTCAAATGTCAGATTCTGAAAGATGCCGAAAAAAGCCATAAGGAATAATACTGATAAAATTTTTGCCATACGTGAATTCAGGGAACGGTGACATTCAATCTTCATTAAAAAATCTGACCTTCCCGTCCTTAAGGGGTTAATATAATTCTACAATTTTTCATTAGAGCTTGCATAAAGATAAGATAAACATTTATTAAAATTCTTTTTTCGTAATATTTTAGCTTTATTTTGGACTTACAATTTTTAAGAAATCTTAAATATGTATTTATTTTTGTCAGTTTTGTAATTTGAATTTTTTTCAATATTATAAAGTAAAAATGAGTACCACAGAACATTTCTTTGTGCATTAACTAGTGTTTATATAATCTATAAAATATTTGATTTCTTAATGCATATCAACTCAGTACAGATATTTAAGTTTTATATTCAATTTCGAAACATTTTACACAAAATTAAAAGGTGTATTTCTTTAAATAATTATTATTGTTTTCTCAACAAGTTATTAAGTTTACGTCGTATGCTGTAGTACAGATGACGATACTGTATGTCTTTAAGTTGTTGCCCGATTCTTCTCCAATTTTTAAAACGGTAAATAAATAATTCCAAAAGAAAAACACAAAATGAACAAAGAAATCCAGTGATTGCAACGAAAATTAGTTGGTGAATCGTCAACACTACTTTGAAATCTCTAGAACTGCAGGTTTTATCAGCTTGCATAGAAGACGTTTTCTTTATAGAATAAGGTTCCATCCATTTTTTTGAGAGTCCTGATTCGATAATTCTTTGCAATACTTGATCAAATCGCTTTGCGTAAGGAACACCTACACCAAGAAGTGTTATACTTGTACCACTTTCAAAATTGTCGGTGAAAATTTTGACAGGTAAATGTCCACATTTATCTCGTTTATTTGACAGGAATAATTCTGCTCTTGGTATTTCCAAAATACATTACACGTTTTTGGATTTTAATATACTGTCTAAACAATCTTCATGCTTCATAACCGTCAAATTGGCTTTCCATACAATTTTTCGCACAAGAGGATGGGTTGTGTTTTTCAAAGTTAAAAATCCATAATGTCTAATGAATATTTGTAAATTAGAGGAGACAACATCTTCCAAAGTTTCGTATTTGAATTCTTTTTTTGTTTGCAGTTGAGCACTAGTAATCGAAGTGTAAATCTGTGAGGTAAACATAAAGCATACGAGAAGGAAAGTTTGAAACATTACTCGCTCCGGAATTCTTTTGGGCTCTTTAGGAACAACTGATCCTAAATTAATTCGGAGCAGGTAGTCGATTTTCCAATTGTCTTTGTTGAAGTGCATGAGTCGTAAAACAATCCAAATGAAGATGGGTAGAAGTATTATCATAGCCAAATTAATCACTTGCAACTTAAATGTTAAGGACTTTACATCCTTACTGATAAGTGGCACTATCAATCCGAATTGAAGTTTTTGTAAACCTTTACTTATTTCCCAATTTGGCCTTGAACAAGTTTCCATCCCTATTTCCTTACTTATTATCTGAATTTGGTTGGCGAAGAGATCTTTGAGGATTCCTGAACTATTCTCCTTCGTGCATTGAATTATTCCCCAACTCTTAGTTGTTGATTCCACAATAGAAAAATTTATAACGTCTTTCATACTTTCAATTTTGTTGATTGCGAATCCAAATATCTTTTCTGATTTATTCTCTGGAACAAATACATCTGGAGGTGAGTGAAGAAAACTTGCTACCAATGGATAACTATGCAGAGATTCGAGTTTCTTAGGAAACCAAATTGTTTTCGAAGAGGCTGAAGCATTAGTAATCAAATCAAGAAAAGGATTGTACTGAATTACCTTAAAATCTTCTTTACTATTATTTAAACTTGCCTTATCTCTTCCTATTTCGATAACAGTAACATCAAGAAATTGTTGACTCCAGAGTTTTTTGAAAAATTGTCGATAGTTTAAAAGTCTCTTGGCAAGTAGTAGCAAACATTTTGGTCGACGCCTTGATTCTGAAAGTCGGGTTAAGAATTCAAATGATCTAGTAATTTTGCTATTGCTGTCAGTGCTCATGAGAACAAATAGCGAAATTCGAGGATTGTAGGTAATGAAATCCGACTTTGTGGGTTCATCATGATGAGGTAAGATAATCTTGTTAACTGGAATACTGCTCGATAGTTCCTTGAGTATCTCTTTGAATACAGTAGAACCCGGTTAATACGCTCCCGTTTAATACGATTTCCCGTTTAAAACGCTCATTTATAGTGGTCCCTGCAATTAAAGACATACATTTTATTTCCCGCTTAATACGTTTTCCCGCATAAGACGAATTCTTAGCGCGGTCCCTACAGAATCGTATTAACCGGGTTCTACTGTATTAGATTGTAGGCTACAGAATCCTCGATAGATTTATCCATCATAAATATTACCTGATAGATGTGTCCATCAGTATCAATACTTTCCTTTAGACTCTCGATCCATTTTATGTCACTGCATTTGATTTTCGTAACGTGAAACAGAATTAATACTATATGGATGATTACTTTTATTTTCATTTTAATATCACTTTAAATTGTACAATGACTTGAAGTATACACAATTAGTGTAACAAATTTAAGTACACCCTGATGCTTTAATGCCTTCCTTTTGGTTTTGTCGGCGTTTTAAAAAGTCGTAACATATCTATCAAACTGTTGTTAGTTAGTGACATATAAGTTCGTTTATAATTCGTCAACTCTTTGACGTATTTGACTACTCAAAAAAAATTGTGACAAGTAATGTACACTAATTTAGTTATATTTTTTAAATGACTGATTGGCTTATGTGGTTAGAGTATGAAGTATGTTTGTCAAAGTTCTTTTGACGTTACAAGAAAGCAAGGAAGGGCACTGTAAAAGACACACCCTGTGTGAATTATTTCCCTCCTATTTACTCAATTGCGAAGCAACTTTTATTTCTAATTATTTATAGATTATGATGAGTCACTACAGTTTATCCTGAAATATAAATGAACTATTTATTGGACAACCTCAAAATCAACGATATTTAAACGCCGAAACTCAACTTAGTTTGTGTCAAGCGCAAGAGAAAAAATACTTGTATTTCTTATTTTTTGTAATGTTAGAATATTTAACTGATTGAGAATTATAATAATGAAAGAAGATTCTGACTTTACCAGCTAATTGTGACATCTATTAGATATCAATTAAACTCTTGGTTAATTATAATTCAAATTTATTTTGAATTGCAAGGAGAAAAATGGATTATGCGAGTTATAATTTAAATTATGGCTGTTTTCCTCGTTCTCTTTGGTTTAACTCCTGTCCACATAACACATAATATTGCAGCAACATTAAAAAATTTTAAAAACATTTTTTTTTAAATTTTCTTTAAATTTTAAATTTTTTAAATTTTAAATTAAAATTTCTTTTTTTTACATTTTTTTTACATTTTTTTGCAACATTTAAAATATTCCCATGTAACATTGCAATAATATTTCAGGAATATTGTTATGTCCGACTCATGGAATATTACAAAATAATATTCCAGCAATATTTCAATAAAACTTTACAAAACAAATTACTTAAATGTCTCAGGAATGTTACAGTGAAATATTGTTGAAATATTATTTTTATACATTGTTGAAATATTACAGAATTTTTACAAAGAAGATTGTATTTTGAAATCCTTTTTCAAAGAAACTGTGATTTTTATTAAAAATCAACTAAAGTAAATTTAATAGCTCCCTGTTAATTATATAATTATTGGAAATCTACTAATTCACAATTAGAAATTTTAACTATAAATTTATGTCGCTAATTATTATCGATTCTGTAAGATTCAGGTGATCGACTTGCTGGTCATGGCTTCATTCCTAACGTATTATATAAAATAAACAATTTTTTTTAAAAAGCATTTAGCGTGAATGATAAATCGCTTTTGGAATTCCTTCCACTCATGAATCCTAATGTTTGTATCTGAAATAAAATATTAAATTTTTTTGAATTTTAAAACTATTTGAACTGTAAAATCTAAATTGGAGACTAATTAACTATGAAAAATGTGTTGTAATCATAGGGAATTTTTCCATGACTGATTTCCGGAAAAGTACCAAAAAAAGGTGATTTTCGGGAATTCAGGGATTCCTTGAAAAATTTTAAGGAATTAACTCTTTAGAAATTTTCCAGAGTTTCACGAAAATATCTTTAGGGCGGAGAATTAATTACACAGCCACACAAAAAAAATAACGTGTCTTGATCTGGGGTCGAGACATATGTATTTCGATGTATTTCGATGCGCTGAATCCGAATCCGCCCTCAGAATTTGGCCAATGGGTCCTGGTTTCGCCCTAACCTCAAAAAATACCCTAAAATCGTTAAAATGGTCACTTTTGAATTATCAAAATTGAATCTAACCGCATATTGATAATTTTCTCAGATTCCTTAATTTAAATAAACTATTCCATAAGCTTTTCAATTGAAAATTTATATAAAATATTAAATATATCGAACCTAACCTCAAAAACACATCTAAGATTCCAAACAAACAAATGATACAATTCACAGCGCAATAAAAATTATGTAAGCTCATGAAAGTTACAACTTAGGTGTTTTTATGACTGCTGATTACGAAGCCGGTTGTGGG